AACTCTCAGCTCCTTCTCCAGTACCATGTCTTTCTGCATTATGCCATGTTGCCCCTCCATGATGATGATGGACAAAACCTCTGAAATTGTAAACAAGACCAATGAAATGTTTTCCTTTCTAATTGCCATGGTCATGGTGTCTCTTTATAGCAACAGAACACTAACACAGGACTCTTCCAGGATAAGTGGGCTGGAGAACGATAGAAAGGAAAATAACAGGGTACAAGTTATCTGATGGGGGTATTTGAAAAGGGGGCTTTGGGAGGTAAGGGTAAAAGAGGTAAAATAGAGAAAAAGGAAGAAAGAGAGTAAAATAACAATAAAGATATTTGATAAAGACATAAGCAATCATACTATTAGCTATTTACCTAAAACAACAACAACAAAAAAAACCCTATAATACACTTAATTCTATGTATAAATAACACTTCTCATCTGGGCTAACAATGCTCCCTTTAAAGGCCACCTAACAAAAATTAGATATAAGAATCATTGAGACTCCCAAAACATACAGTCTGTGGTTATTGCCTCCAGAAGATGAGTTCTTATTGCTGAAGACACCATGCACTTCAGAAATAGGACCCAGAGGCCACTGAGTCCTTGACTTGAAAGCTTCCTGCTGGAGGCATGGTAGCAGAAGGTACCATGCAAACTTCCAAATGAGGGAGTCATCACAGGGTCTTACTTGGGCTAGACCCTGTGAACCATGGTAGTGATGAGCATGGCATGATAACCCTAAGGATGCAGTCCTTGTCCACATAAAAGCCCATTGTCCTAGAGGTAATTCCCAACTGGCAACATTCCTAAACAGTGCAATAAGGAATAGCATTTATGTAGCACAAAGTCAAATTTGTTCAAAACCTGTTTTTATATCACTGATATAGCAAAATTAAAAGTGGGATATCTTAATATAGGCTTTTATAAACAGGCTCATAATAAACTTATATTTAAAGAGCCACATTATGAGTGTTATGAGGAAGGGGCAGAGTCTTCATTAAATGCTGTACTTGGCCTTTATTATCTATCTAAGTGATCAAAGTTCATCAGGTGCAGGTTTTCCTGTGTGTTTGAGGTCCTTTAAACTCCCTTTACACTCCATCTATCCCATACTCTTCATGTCCAGTTCGTGAAAACACCCAAACATCTCCAGCTGGCGATTGTTACAGGAAGGTCATATTCTTGTGGGGTCTTACCAATCAATGATCTTTGTTCTCTGTTTCAATCTTTTAAGCTTCCATGGAAGATATTCCCATACACCAACCACACAGCTGAATGAAACACCATCTCAACCATATCTATTACACAACTTGACAAAATACTTAAAATTTTATAATAATGTTTTACTTTAATATAACAAGAATATGCAAGTCAGTCTTGGTGACACACACCTTCAATCCCAGCACTCAGAAGAAATTCCCTTTGAGTCCTGGCCCACACATCACCAGTTAATTACTCCAATCAACTTAGTGAGATTCTTTGTGACTCAATTCCATACCAAACTGGAAGAGATCTCAGGAATACTTCATCAGTCTCTTACTTTTGCAGAAAATGAGTGTGGAGGAATATCCATGATCCAGTTCTTTACTCACGAATCTCATATCACAACTTTATCTATTGTGAGTACACACTTTCAGCACACAATCTATCACAATTTTTTCCAGTATACTTTCCATAGCTTTGGGCTTAACCATCTTCAACACTTACCATATTTAAGTAATCAAAGCTGCATGCTCAATCATTACAAAATCCGTGAAGGTAAATAAAAGAATGGTGAGGAGATTTCTATTTAAGATTCAGAATTCAGAAATGTAAATACTTATTGCTGATCTTTGAGTGCCTGGTTTATGCCCTCAAGAAGGTAGGAAGCCTTTTTTGAAAAGAAACTACCAGGAAACAAAGGTCAATGGAACAAGGAAATTTAGTAAAGTTTAAAAGGCAGTATACAGAAAATAGGCTGTATAATTCCCAACAAAACTTTTTGTAAAGACACACCTGTACTTTTGAAGAACTGGCTGTGTAGGGGAAAAGGCCAGGCAAAGAAACACACCCTGAACAGAGCCAAAGAAACAAATTTTAGCCCTGCAACCAGAACCAAAGAAATACACCCTGACCCAGAAGCCAGTGCCAAAGAAACACACTTTGGCCCTAGAATCAGTCAGTGAAAAAAATAAGCCCTGGCCCTAAAATTAGAACCAAAAGGCTAAAAAGGACCAGTGAAAGAAACACACTTTGGCCCTGAAGCCAGAGCCAAATATGCCCAGACCCAGAGCAGGAGATCTAGCCAATCTGATCTCAGGTATTGAAATCTGACCAATCCCCACCCTGGAAATCTTCTGCCTGGAAAAAAAGCCACTCCTAAGAAGCCCTATAAAAGGCAGAGGCAGTCACTCTTCTGGATTCTTCCCTCCCAATAAATCTCTTGAAAGAGGTTTGGGTGAGACCTTCCTTTGCAGACAACCAGGGTGGAGTAGAGCAGAGGTGTTACCTTTGGGGAACTGGAGCTGAACTGTAACAACTTTGCTGGAGGAACCCTTTCCTGAGTGGAACCCATACACTGGAGAAGCCTTTTCCTGGAGCAAGGCTAAGCTGCTATGCTTACTGTGACCTGTGGTATTCCTTGGTCCCCTATGGCTAAGCAAGATCTCCGTTGAGTGATGACCCCCTGAATGCCCTGGTCCTCATTTGGTCCTCCCAGAATCCATGGAACGCCCAAGACTGCAGTGGCCTTTTCCTCCTCCCCTCTCATTCTTGGGAACAGTGTCATTCATACTCTCTCATTCCCTCTTGAGATGACTCTGAGAAAACCTCCAGAGAGGAAAAGGGGTTAAAAAAAAAAAAAAAAGGCAGCATTCAGTTCCATATTGGACTATCAGTGATCCACTGCCAGAGGTATCAAACTGCCTCTTATGTTTTTGAAGGTCTGTCTGAAGTTGTCAGATCTTATCTGATCTGGCCGATGTTGACAGTAGGAGGAAAGAATAGGGGAGGGACAAGTATTTTAGAATTTGAATTAGGTGTTACAGGGATAAGTAGTTCTTTTTTTGGCAACCTGCTGGTGAGCAGTCTCTGGACCCCACTGTGCAAATCGTCTGGTTGAAGTATTAAATATAGGTTTAGCAATAGCAGAGAGGGGAAAATAAGAAATATTTTCCATCATCATAAATTATTTTCTTATATCTTCAGAACTTTCATGTACATAACAGTTTCTTGCACCTTCAGTGCTTACTTATGCTTTGCCGTCATCAGACAGCACTTTCTTAGACCCTCAGAACTTAAATTATCCTCAGTGCTTACTTACACTTTCACATCCTCAGACCTTTATAACAACTTTTTTGTGACTCTTATTGCAACTGGGCTGAATTCGCATCAATAGCTTTTCCTGGGTTCTCTTTAGGGATCCAATCCTGCTACATAGTGCTAAGTCTGTTTCTCTCCATGACCTCTTCATGTCTTTTTAAAACCACCTAGGTGACTCTTATATTACAAAGTTTGGCTACCAGCAAGAGGTATGCTCCTTTATGAGTACATGAAGGTGCAGCTTTAATACCTTAGTAAACAATATTTGTTATTTTTTTTTAATTCTATCATTAACCCTGCTCTTATGATTTTTGTTTTCAGGGCAGGAATTATCATACAATAGAGAAAATAGGCATGGGGGGTAAGCCCCAGAGAAAGAGATGGATTAAGGAGTAATAGGAAGCTGAATCAGCCTTTCCTCAGCCTAATGATAGAGACCTTAAGTTCCCTGAGGCTTTGAGCCTGGGTGGTTCATTTGGTAAGGTTTTGTAATTGAATGATAAGGGAAGTACTCTTAGGTTATAGAGTAGTTTTGGGTGTCCCATACCTGGGGATCTACTTAAGAGGGCAGTAAGGGAAAAGGTGTGTCAGATCATGTAGTTTGGAGGAGGAGGGAAACAGCTGGCAAACCTGAGGCCAAGTGGATGGGGGAGTTAAAACAATAGAAGCTCCCACTTTGGCTAGCAGGTCCCTTCCCAGAAAGAGGACAGGACAGGTTGGCACCATTGGAATGGGTAAGGGGAATATCCTAAAGATACAGCTAAATACTGGGGTTTGATGAGCCTAGTAAGCTTGTCCTCCTAAAACAGAGAAACAAGAGGGAGAGATGTGTCCCCAGAACTCAGGAATGAAGAAGTGAGCCTGGTGTCCAGAAGGAAGGAGACAAATTGCCCTGATACTGTCCTAACTACCTGAGGCTCCCTGTCAGAGATGGTGGTGGTCAGTCCAAGGGACCCAGGGCCTCCTCAGTCATGAAGGGTAATCTGTGCTTGATATCCTCATGACACTAGGGGCACTCAACACTCCAGTCCCCTTCTTGATGGCTCCTTGGACATTGTCTGGATGATTCTTGGACACGGTCTGAGTGGTTTACGAGGGTTCTGACAGGCCTGGGCCCAGTGACACTCCTGACCACATTTGAAACAAGGGCACAGAGGACTTTAGGAGATCAAGAAGCCTGGGTTTTGCTTTGGCCACTGAGAGACCAGTCATAGAGCTGGTTATATTCTTGCTAAAGAAGCTTTGGAAGAATGAACAAACTAGGAAGATCGCTGGTCCTAAAGGTAACGAATCCCGAGGTTCCTTTCACAACAGGAGAGGACGCCATCAACACTGCTGGCAGCTGGCCGAAGAGCCCCTTCCCACCAACCCAAGACACGCCCCTCGATGGCACACCCACCCAGCCCCGCCCCCGAAGGTACATTCCCCCCCCCCAGCCCATCCACCCAAGGCACGCCCCCGAAGGCACTTTCCCCAGCCCAAGCACCTACCGCACACCCCGTGCCCATGCACCCATGGCACGCCCCTGTGCACCCAAGCACCCACGGAACGACTCCCCACCCAAGGCGCACCCAGCTCACCCACCTACAGCACGCCCCCTCACGCACCTACAGCACGCCCCCCCACCCACTACATGCCCACCCAGCTCACGCACCAACAGCACGCCCCCACCTACGACACGCCCACCCAGCCCACGCACCCACCTGCGGCCTGGCCTGAGACGGCGACGCACTCAGCGCTCCGCCAGTGCGGCAGAGGCCTGCTCCAGGGCCGCGGGATCCCGGGAGGCAGGTAGGCGCCTGACTTCCGCCGGATTGCCACCCGCCTGAAGGTGTAGTGGCCCTCGCTGTTCATGGTGGCCTGAGGCCCCTCCCCGGAAGCCTCAGCCCACGTCCAGGCTGAGCAGCCCCCGGCGCCCACCGCAGCCCCCGCAGGCACCGCTTCCCGGACCGCTGTGCTCCGGCTCAGGCCGACATGGACAGTGACCTACGGCACAGCCAATCGCCGGAGCCCGTCGCGGTCCCGCCCGAGAGACTCGGGGAACCGGCGTCCCCCATTGGTCCAGGGGAAGGGCTCGTGCACCTGCCCGGCTCACCTGGACCGCGAAACGCTTGGCCAGCTCACCTACCTGCCACGCCCCTGGATGGCGGAAGAACAGTCCCTCTGTTTTCCGCACTCCAAGGGCCAAAAGTCGCTCAGGCTGGGGCGCTGCCCACATTCCAAGGGCCAAACATCGCTCGGGCGGGCCGTGGTACTGCGAACTTTAGGTAAGGAAACCAAGCTTTGAAACTGACTGAGGAGAGCTAGCACCGCCTAGCTGGAATTCCGCAGCTGTTTTAGGAGAACCTGATCGTCTTAACAGGAGCACTGTTGGAAGAATGAGGAAGCACAGCGCTTAGCTTAAAGGGAATGAGATTGTTTCTTCTGGAGCCTTCCTGAGTGAACGTGACCCCGGGAACACAGATTTAGGTTACTCCAAATGCCATGTTCCAACGTAGAAGCAGTCTTATAGTTTCACAGAACAAATAAAATACAAGGAAGTATAAAATACATTGGTAATTACATCAGAGAGGCAGTCACAAATAAGGTGGAGCCCCTACCCCCAAAGGCCTTGCGATACTGCCTCATGACATTCTTAGCTTTAGGGTTGGGTCGGCTGAGCCGATAGATTCCAAGGGTTTTTAATCTATTAGTCACAGGATGTTAGTTTGACACAGAGATGGGCAAGAGATGGCTATTCCCCTAGAATAAAGTTAGTCCAAGACAAGGTCATTAGCCTCTGGCCTGTAACATTCCAGTCTCTTCACAGTACTCAGATTCTAATCAGTCTCTGCAGACAAATATCTTAAGTTCTCATCCACAGAGTAAACCAGAAGTTGAACAAACATCCACGGGTTTCCAGAACAGCACAAGACCCATTTATCATGACTATTGTTAAAAATATCATAGTAATAAATTTAAGAGACTTATGAAAACTAAGCCATTTTTAATGTACAATTCTGCGGAAAAGGGACATAAGCATAGAGAAGAGGCAAAAGTAGCTGGTGTGGTGATTTGGAGCAAGACAATGGCTTTCTAAAGCTCCTTAATTGCAATAAATATTCCTCCTCTCTTCCCATAGATCAGGTCTTGCTCTTCCATCTTATTAGTTTAGGATCGTTTAGGCAGTAAGTAATTTGGCACTTCACACTACACCCCTTCTTTGATCTGGGCTGTCACATAACAGACTGCCTACACTTTTTCAGCTCTCAAGAGTTGTGAGGAAAGCTGACTTCAGCATCCAGCTAGGAGAGAGCAAGGCCTCGGGAAACCTGCTTATTTGTAGCTCATGAACTTTAGGACACTTCATACTGAAAATTAACAGTAACAACTCATTTCTTATACTGCCTTCAGGAATTTAGTGGCAATGCACTTTAGAGTTCTTTTAAATTTGTCAGGCATACACATATATATGCATATGTGCAAGTCCATAGACATACACATATAAAATATATAAACATGTATGTGAAAGAATACAAGTATGTGTGTGTGTGTGTGTGTCTGTGTGCCTGTATGTATAATCACTGCCTTGTCTGATAAGAGATTATGTTCCTAAACTATGGAAACAGGGAAGGAAAGGTGTAGTGAGGTAGTCCTTCTGTAGCACTGACCACGCCCATTGGGGGGTGGAGCGATGGGCGGAGGTGACCTGAGGAAGGAGGTCGGAGGGGGCGAGGAAGGCGCTCTCTCTTTCTGGCATGACTCGGACAGGAGAGGATCGGGTTGAATTTCCTGGTGTTCATCTGTCTAGGTTGTAAGTTATTTCTCCCTGATTAAACATCTATTCGGCCTATTTGTTTATCCTGATCCTTATTTACCGCAATATCTGGTGTCAGAAGCGGGATTTACCTGGGTTTTGCCCCCAGGCAGCAGAAGCTGCCCCCCCTCCCCCACCTTCCCCAACGGGCAGGGTTTAACCAGGTGGACTCACCACAGCTTTGGGACATTTGCCTCTTCCTTACTGCAAAGGAGATCTTTGCCACTAAAGCAGACCTGAGAAGGCACTTACTGCTTAACATTTTTTGCCCATTTCCGCACAGGACTTTGCATTCGCTCAGAGCCTCTCGGCGGCACCCGCCCGGCTTGCACGCGTTTCGTCTTGTGTTACAAGTAACTCCAAAAGTCCCCTTTTAACAAAATTCTGCTTGCCATAGTTTGTTAAGAACTTTTTACAGGAACCGGGATCAGACAAGCCTCGGCGGCTAGGTGCTATTTGGTGACACACCTCCAGGTGTAGCTACCACAAGCTGAGATATACAACTAAAAGCATCAAAGTTCCAGGACAGCAGAATTACACCTAAGGTAATTGTAACATCCTTTGCAATTTAAGCTGATATAAAATCTGAGATAAATTGTTCCATAACTATGGCAGATAATTTTACTATGTAGAACTTTAGGAACTATTTTACTTCATATGTAGAAGGGATTTTAGCAGAAGAAACTTATGACTGGACCAATATATACTTTTATGTTGTAATAGCAATGGGTTTCATCATTAACATGATATTCTTAAAGAAATGGTTTGAGATTACAGCAAACAATAAGGAACTTGTACAAACCATGGGAGACTTAGTGACAAAGATTCGAAACATTGAAAATGATGGAATTCAAAACATAGAGACAAAGATTCGAAACATTGAAAATGATAGAATTCAAAGCATAGAAAATATAGAAAGAAAGGTTCAGAATATTGAAGATGGCGTTGTCGAGCTGAAAGGTATACTTTGTTTCATGTCAGATACCTCAATAACCAGAACAGAAACAATGCAATGCATTAACAAACTAGCAGAAACAGCCCACTCCTGGTCGGAGGAAGCTACTAATAAGTTTAAAAAACTGGAACATCAGATAGAAAGACTAGATGACAGAAACTCTTCCATGTCTGAGGATAATGGCAAGCTAGCAGATAGAACATTGTTTCTGGAAGGCAGTTTACACGCCATTCAGATAATATCTAAGGATGATAAGATTAAAAACATGGAATCATTTGTAGTTGGAGAAAGTAAGAAACTGACTGATGCAATGAAGTCTCTAGAAAGTTATTTGATTCAAGAAGTTCAGACACTCAAAGAAACAATGGTGAATAGATTTCAGGCTTTAGAAGACCTTCAGTCTGATACATCAGAAGAAGAACTACAGGTAACAGGGCATGAAAAAGATTTAAAATTTTCCACACCATTTAGGGTCAGGGGAGCTTTCCCTGTATCTATTCATGAAAAGCCAGCAACGAAGAAACATCCAAAAGGTGTCGTTGCATATCAGTGGGAACCAATACGTATGAAAGATTTAAAAGGTATAAAGGAAGCAGTAGTCTCTTATGGCATGCACTCACCTTATGTGAAGCAATTAGTAGAATCATGGGCATGGAATAACAAGGTAACCCCTAAGGATTGGGATCAATTAATATCAGCTGTCCTTGAAATCTCCTCTCAAATAGAATGGAGGGCTTTATGGAGAGAGGAAGCAAAAGCTCTTGAACTTCAGGGCTTAAAGAAAGGGTATAAAGCTCCCCAAGATAAAATTCTTGGTGAGGGTCTCTATGCTGACCCAGAAACCCAAGCTGCCTATGATGAACACATCTTGTCTCTATGCAGTACAGCAGCTTTGAATGCTTGGGATAAGGTTCATGAATTAGGAGAGAGGATAGAACCCTATACCAAGATAAAGCAAGGACCTAGAGAACGTTTTAGTATCTTTCTAGAAAGATTATCTAGGGCAGTACAATTAGAGATAGCAGACATAGATGCTAGGCGAATACTCATAGAATCTTTAGCTTATACGAATGCGAATCCTCAATGCAAACAGGTGCTTTGGCCTTTAAATATGCGATCAGCACCCTTGGATGAATGGGTCCTATATACAGGCAACATTGAGTATAATGACAATAAGACTGAAGCATGGGTAGGAGAAGCCATATCTAAAGGTCAGAGAAGATATCAAGATAACAGAGTTACTTACTATGGTGACTTAGAAGCTTGGGTAGGAGAAGCCATCCCCAAAGGTTTGAAAAGATATCATAATGTCAGATGTTATAACTGTGGTAAGATAGGACATCTAAAAAGAAATTGTAGGCAAAGCTTCCCTAGAAATAACACCCCCAGGAATGAATCAAACAGAAGGCCTCAGCCTCCTGGGTTATGTAGAAGGTGTGGCAAAGGCAGACACTGGACAAATGAGTGTAGATCGACCAGAGACAAGCAAGGAAACCCTTTACCATCGGGAAACTCCTTGGGGGGCCTCTCGAAGGCCCCCACGTCACAGGTGGTTCGAACATTCCCAGTCACAGTGGAAGACAATCTCCCACAGGACAATTAGAAAATTCTGTGCCTATTATAAAAACTCATACTGCTCTGGATGACGAACTAGTGACGGAAGTTGAATCAAACATGACAGAAGGAAATGAAAAACGTATATTTTGGCAAACTGCTATAAATATTCATAGGCCTAGATTGATAGTTAAGATGAATAATAGACTGTTTGAGGGTCTGGTGGACACAGGAGCTGACGTAACTATCATATCTAATAAATCTTGGCCTCAAAGATGGCCCCTGCATGAGGTAAATGTTCAATTCTTAGGGATTGGAACCCTGGCTCAGGTAAAACAAAGCACGAGATGGATTGACTGTATAGGACCAGAAGGACAGAGAGGGAGGTTGAGACCATATGTGGCTGATGTAGTGATAAATTTATGGGGTCGTGATCTATTACAGCAATGGAATACACAGATTAACATTCCTCCTGTATTAGATAGGAACCATAGACGACCTCATGATTGTGGAAAGAATACTGTTAAGTACTATACAAGACAGACCAAATATCCAGGCAGTACAAAAACAAAATACAAATGCTGAACAAACAGAGGAACCAAAAGCCCTACCTTTAAAATGGCTAACAGAGGAACCTGTCTGGGTAGGACAAT